CGAGGCCTCCTGGTGCTCAGCCAGGATCCTGTGATGGTGAGAAGGGGCAGTTGGCTGAAGCCGTGCTGGAACCCTGGGGCTGGGGAACGCAGTCGCTTGGGCTTGGCTGGGCTTTGGGAGCTGTGGCAGCTGCTCCCAGCTCTGCTGCCTCCCTGTTCAGCTGCCAGAGTCCCTCGGGACAGGCCTTTGGCCTCTGGGCCCCGCGGCAGCACGTGGGGCTGTCCCACCGGAGTGGGGTTGGGGCTGCAGCCGTTCATGTGTTCCTCAGCACAGCACTGTGTTCCTCACAGGCTGACGGTGTGCAGAGCCTGACTCAAAGCCTCCTGGATCTACTGTGGGATGCAGACGGAGAGCTGGTCAGGATGGCCCTCTCTGTATTCCTCAATGAAGTCCAGGCCAGAGGCATCTCAATCTCCACCCCCACTGCCCTGGAGCTGGCTGAGGCACTCCAGACACTCTTTGGCTACATAAGGCTCTGTGCCCCCCCCACAGGCGCTGGGTGCTGCCAGAAAACTGTAGCCTGTGGATTTGCAGGCCTGTGGCCCGGTGGGCCTGGAGCAGCCGGTGCTGAGGTGTTTTCCTCTTCCTTTCCATCAGGACAATATCCATGTGCAGCTGCTCTCCATTGACCTCTTCTGAAAGGTGTTGAAGTTGGTAGTGGAGGAGGGAAAACAACCCCTGCAGACACACGTGATCCAGAGCCTGCTGCCACTCTTCTTCCTCTCGCATGATGAGAAGGAGCATCTGGCAGATGTGAGGACTTTCTGGACTCCAGTGTCCTTGTGGGCGGGGTGGGGGCTGCCTCCTGCCCTGGCACCTCCTGGGCTCCAGCCTCCTGCTGGTCTTGGTCCAGGGACACAGGTCCTGTGCCCTGGGCTGCGGTGCCATGTCCTGCTCCCTGTTGCTCTGCAGGCCTCTTGGGAAGTGCTGATTCGTGCACTCAGGTTCCTGAAGAGAAGGGATCTCAAGAACCTGCTGGAGGCAGACAAGCCGTGGTGGTTCTGTGACTGCCTGGTAAGGACGGCCATGAAGGCCCAGCCCCAGGCTTGAGCAGCCCCCAGTCCCCGACGGCCAGTGTGTGGGGCTGGCACTGTGACCCTGCCCACTGCTGCTGCCTTGCCTGGGGCGTGCAGGCTCCTCTGCAGGCTCCTCTGCCCCCGAGCCAGGGTGCCATGGAGCCCCGGCCCAGCTGGGCTGTAGGGCAGGATGGCCCCACAGCTGCCAGGAAGCAGCCAACCCTCTGCTCCCTCCAAATCCTGTCCCAGTGGCTGCTGGCCGGGCCTCAGGGCCGTGCGGGCAGGGGAGGCCAGTGCTGGGTGCAGGCAGCGCCTGGCCAAGGGGCAGAGCCCCAGCTAACCCTTCCCTTTTTGCCCTGCCACTCTCTTCAGGTGGAAAGCGAGAAGAAACACATAGTGGAGTTCATGTGCCAGGCCCTACCATACCTGGAGAGCCCACAGGAACCCCTGTGAGAATTGGCCCTCAGGTTCATTGGTGAGCCACAAGGTCCCTCCTCACCCCGCTGCAGCTCGGCCCCAGCCCTGGCTGCTGCAGCGGCAGCAGGATGCGGGCCAGGGATGTGCTGGGGAGCCCCGAGTGCCCTGGCGGCTCCTGCCACCCTGTGCCAGCCCAGCCCTGGGGCATCCCGAGGTGGGAAGGCCCCAGGCTCAGCCCTGCCACGGCAGGAGGGCGTGTGGCCGGGCCGGCAGTGCCGCTTCGAGGGAGCTGTGCCTCTGGGGCCGTGACAGTATCTGTGTTCCCAGGGATCACCGGGAAGTACCTGAGAAAGGGGCAGGAGGAGGACGAGCTCATCACAGAGGTCATCACTGACAGTGAGTGTGGGCAGTGGGCTGTCAGCAGGGGCTGGCAGGAAGAGCACAGAGCCTGGGCAGGGAGTTGCAATCCTGCCCCAACTGTGGAGGGCTCTGCTCCCTGCATGGACAGAGCAGAGAGAGATTTCGGGGGCACAGGGGATCGGTGGCCAGCACCTTCTGGCTGATCCCATTGGGCCCTGCTCCCTCCTGGCAGTGGCAAGAGCTGGGTGGGAAGGCCCTGCCAGGAGGGGCTCCTTGGGTCCCTGCAGATGCTGGCTCTGATCTTGGCTCCGTTCTTTTCTGTTCCAGCCCTTCAAGGCATGACTGCTGACAGCCCTGCCATCTCAAGGTGGGCAGTTGAAACCTTGAAAATCATCAAGGATGTTCAGAAATCTAAACCTAAACCGACACCAAAATCTAAATCCACCAGATTCCGGTAGCCTCCATTCCTCTCTGTTCCAGCCCTGAGAGGAATGACCGACGACCTCAGACTCGCCATCGCAGGCCTGGCCATTCAAAACTGTACATGCTAAGAGCTGTACAAACAGCTCCCTGCTCCAGACTCCAGCAGCTCCAAGACTGGCTCTGAAGAGGAAAATGCCTCTTTTCTGCAAGGACGGCCTTTTACACCAGTGTGGGACTAACAAATACATCTATACATCTTATGAAACGCAGAGGCCCAGGAAGTTTTATTCATGCCTGTTGTCCACAGAGGGAAAGAGGAGAAAAAGGGCCTTTGTGCTCAGGAACACTTGCCGAGGAGTGCAGTGGGGAAGGGAAAGTGCCCAAAAGGCCCTTGGTCTTGGGGGGTTCTGCTGGAGCCTCAACACTTCCAGCAGAGCACATGGCCAGATCCTGGAGCTGTGGGGATCCCTGAGAACCTGATCCTCGGAGATGGCCACAAGGCCTGTGCCAGCTGGGAAGCAGCATCTGTGGCCTGCCCGTGTGTTGCTGTCTGGATTGCTGAGGGCTGGGAGGTGCCTCCGGAGGTGGCTCCTGTGGAGCCCCTTCATGGCTGCGCTGCTGCTGGGCAGGTTGGCAGGGCTGGTGGAGAGCCTGAGGGGAAAGGGCTGTTGTTCTCTTTTTTCGGCCCTGTGCTGTACTTTCCAGTCCAACTCAAAAAATTCCATACAGACGAAGATTCCTCCCAGACCAGAGCTGCCAAGATAGAAAGCTCTTGCTGCCCATGGAGTGCCCAGGCTGGCCCACCAGCTGTACCAGAGAGCCAAAGGTTCCAGGCTTTCTTTCCTGGGGGTAAGGGCTGTTGTTTGATTTTTCAGCCCTGCACTCAAACTACCTAAAATTGCATATGGACGAAGAGTCCTCCCAGGAAAAAGGTGCCACCACAGAAAGCTCTTGCTGCCCAAGAAGTGCCCAGGCTGGCCCAAAAACTGCACCAGAGAGTCAAAGGTTCCAGGCTTTCTTTCCTGGGGGAAAGGGCTGCTGTTCCCTTTTTCAGCCCTGTGCTGCAATTGCTGCTCCCACCTCCCCAAAACTGATACAAATGAAGATTCCTGCCAGACAAAATGTGCCACCACAGAAAGCTCTTGCTGCCCAACAACTGCACCTGAAACCCAAAGCCTACAGGCTTTCTTTCCTGGTGGAAAGGGCTGCTGTTCCCTTTTTTCAGCCCTGCGCTCAAGATGCCAGTCCCACTGCCAAAACTGAATAAAAACGAAGATTCCTGCCAGACAAAAGGTGCCACCACAGAAAGGTCTTGCTGCCCAAGAAGTGCCCAGGCTGCATCTACAAGGGAATGATGGACCTTCCACCCAGGAAAGAAAGCCCTTACCCTACATCTCTCATGTGCAGTTGGTGGGCCAATTTTGGTACTCCGTGGGCATAAAGATCTTTCTGTCCTGGCACCTTTTGTCCTGGAGGAATCTTCGTATTCAATTATGGGAGTGTCCCTGCCCAAAGGGAAGAACCCTTTTGCAATGATTACATTCACAGCTGGAAGTGCCAACAGTTTGTTCCACCAAAGCAAGCTGTGCAGCCCTCCAGTGCCTGTGTAGGATGTGTCTGGGAGGTAAATGCGGGCAGGAATGTCTTTCCCTCCACACTTCCACCTGTGGACCAGTTTGCTGGACAGCCTACACAAGGCTTGGGCATGCTGTGCTGCCCTCAGGGCTTCTGCTGCTGCAGATCTTGCAGGAAATTTAGAATAGGGAACTGGTTTGGGTCAAGAAGTACGTGGGAATTTTTTCTATTGGAGGCTGAGGAGGCTGTGTTGGCTACACAAATACTTCTTGTAAGGCAGATAACGTAAAAATATTATATGCATGTGAAAAGTTTAGGACACACATTACACATCTGGAGCAATTAGATGGGATCTTCTTGGGCAATCTGGAAGATCTGTGCAGGATGCCTCCACAATGGCAGTGCAGGAAACAGGCCGTGATGGTATATTTTTATATATATCTACATTACACATTTGCTCAGCTTGAGGTCTAATGTGCTGGTGCTGTTGCCAAAGCCTGTGTGTTTCCAGTATTGTCATTCCTGGTATGGGTCCGCTTTCCATGGCAGGATTTCCTGGAAGAGTATCAAAGCTGTCTTAGCTCTGATACATTTTCTGGCAGCCAACTGTCTGCCCAAGTACCCACTCACTCCAGGAGATTCCAGTCACCCAGTGTGCAGTGTGTCACCAGCTTCCCCAGCTCTGGAACTGGGAGCTTGGCAAATGCAGCTTTTTGAAAAAGCAAGAGACATATTCACGCTATGAGCAAACAAGCTGGGACCAGGAAAAATAAATACAGAAATAAAAATAAAGTAAGTAAATAAAATAAATAAATAAACCAGAGTGATGTTCAGACTTTCAAATTTATTCCCATTTCCTTGACCAATAAACTTGACCAAGCAGTGACCAAGCATTTACCTTGTGATATTTTTTTTGCCACCACAAGTGATCCTTTTGAACCGACTTTCCAAATAAAAACTCAGTTCATTAAATGACAGACAAACCCAGTGAATGTAAGTGGAAAACACTTCTTATTTGGGAAAGTGGCAAAAGTAATCTTGATTCTTTTTTGGAGCTGTGAACACTTTGTGTCCCTGAACTTTCTTGATTCAAACTCCTTAGCCTGAACCTAAGGATGTTTCCATGCAGGATTCATCTGAGACTGACAGGATTCCTGTGTACATCTGTTTTGGCACAGCTGATTCCTTTTATTCCCGTGTGTCTCAGTGTTCCAGGTCCCTGGACCTGTGTTGAGGATCACTGCTGCAAACAGGCATGTGCAGCTTCTCCTCACCTTAATATTCAACCTCAAGCCAAAGGGAGAAGGAGGGGGGGCAAAACCCCAAACTCATGTGCAACATAAAGCAGAACCAGATTCTGCTGAAGATGTGGTTGGCTTGTTCTCCTGACAAAGTTTTCTAAAATCTCTGTCTCAAAGCCTGTGTTCATCACACAGGCAGTTCTGCAGAAAGCAGGTGATTACAGCAGGTCTGTGTGAGGCAGAGGTGTGTGGGTGTCATATGAAGGGCACAGCTTGTGCCAGGGATGCTGCTCATCCACCCGGGAGGTGGCTGTAAGACATTGGGTTTGAGACATTGTTCCTGTGCTGCCTCAGGGACTAGGGAGCAAATTTTCTCCAAAATAAAGGTCCCATGAGGAGTCATGGACAGCTGACAAGGGTGAGGGGTTTTTCTTGAGGTGTTGACAATGTACAACCTACAAAGCCCCATCAGCCTTGCTTCTTGCTTTCTCCTGGTCCCTACTCCAATGCTTAACCATATTTTTCCCCCTGGATACCATCTGAGGACAGAGGCTGCTGAGGTGCACACAGGTTGCCCAGGTTGCAGCAAGTGAAACAAGGATAGGAGATATCTGAAGGTGATTGGTGCCAATTCCTACAAAAATGGACCACAAGTGGAGAACAAACAGAAAGGTTGATTGAAGAGGAATGGTTTAATGTAGATAGAGACTGGATAATACCTCAGGTGGGAGCTGCTGTCTGCTCAGGTGTGTGACAAAGGGCTCCCTTAGTGACCAAACTGCTTCTATGCTACTACAGCAGGAACTTATGCATGGGATTGCCCCAGTGAAGCACTGCACAGTCCAGCTGAAAAAGAACCAGACATGTGAAAGCTTTTCATTAGCAGTTTTGCTGCTAACCAAACCAGCCCAGGTTCGAGGCAGAAGTCTGTTCTGGAAACTTCTAACCCTTTCCTCTACTGCTGTTGCATTATTTTCAAAGTATGATTCTACCCTCATACGCAAAATAACGTCTCGCTTACAAGGATTTTTGCTCATATGTACAAACCCCAGTAAAGAAAGTTGAACACAATATACACACTGGGAAATATAATCCTGGAATACGTGTCAATGACGTGATTGTTCTGTAAAATAATCCTGCCCACGTTTCCCTTCAGAGATTTCTTCAAGCGAGTTGGTTCCTCACTGGAGATGTTGGTTTCGCTCGTCCGAGTCTCATTCTCCTCACAGGGGTCTGAGAAACCAGACAGGTCCATGTCATCCGTGTCATGAAAGCAGCCGTCAAAAGCCATGGCTTGCACTGCATCCATATACACTCCTGAGGCCTGGTAACAAAGAATAGTTAGCCTGTGTCTACAGGAGACATTTCAGTAAATTATAAACAAATAAAAGAGGAAGTAAAGAAAGCTCTCCCTTCATTGTTGTTCCCTCTTAGAGAGCATATGGAGAAGAGGGTTATCTCACAGTATGGCAGTCTGTGGGCAGGACGTGAGCAAGGAAGGAGGTACACGTGATAAAATAATCCTGTCTGACTGATTATTGCCAGCTGCTGGCTGGCAATACGTGCCCCAGCTTCTGAAACAGAAGAGTCAAACTCTCTCCTGTAGGTCTGCACTGCTGGAGCTGTGGGAAATGACTTCAAACATTTCCATCAGATCATACGAGCAACACATGCACCCTTTCTGTGGTTTTCCCCTTGTGATGTTCCAGCAAATGAGTTTACATGGGGGGATATTCTTGAAGCAAAGGTTTTAAGTGAGTGCTTCACAGAAAGCAGATGTTTAACTTGCGACCATTTCTGCTTCAGGCACACTTTTCTAAAAATGACCTTGTCTTGGGACAAAAAGGCATCATTAAACCCACCTTTCCAATTGAAAATGGCAAAGCAGGAAGAGGAGAAATGGACTCTGCTTCACAGAAAACAGGAAGGAATATCACATGAGTGCATTCTGG